TATGCTCCTGGGTTCTCTTTTTATTCTAACTCTACTTGCCTCCCTGCTTCTTCCTTTTCCCTACCTTCCATTTTGTGCTGAATTTTAACAGGGCTGAAACCGTACCTTGTTCCTTCCCCATACACTCATTGAAGCTCATGACCTCTCCTTAGAATTTTCATGTTGTGTCTTCTAGCCCTTGGCCTCTCCTGCCTAAGTTTTGTCTGTGATAAGTGGAATTCTGTCTATTGTTTTCTTTAACATAACATATGCTAAAGAAGCCAGAAGACAAAAAGCAGCTGGGAGACTTCTTTGGCATGTCCAACAGTTATGCAGAGTGCTACCCAGCCACGTATGTGAAACCCTGTTAAGGAAGGGAGGCTGAGATAATGGGAGAGCAAGTTGGGGGGTGAGGTGGAAATTTGATTTGTTAGGACCTAGGAGTACTCCTGGGGTAGTCATTACTATGCAGATAACCGTTTTTGACATAGTCTCCCCCCCCTTTTTTTTTGGAGACAGAGTCTCACTCTGTTGCCCCAGGCTAGAGAGCTGTGACATCATAGATCACAGCAACCTCAAACTCTCAGGCTCAAGTGATCCTCCTGCTTCAGCTTCCTGAGTAGCCAGACTACAGGCACCCACCATGACACCTGGCTACTTTCTACTTTTCTCCTTTTAGTAGAGACAGGGTCTTACTCTTGTTCATGCTGGTCTTAAACTCCTGAGCTCAAGCAATCCACCTGCCTCCGCCCCTGCAGAATGCTAGGACTACAGGCGTGAGCCACCTTGCCTGGCCTGTATATCCTCTTAGTTGGGTAGGCGTCCAGGTGAACCATAGGGGTCTGGGTCTATAGCATCTTTTTAACTGTTTTCTTCTCTTTAGGATGGATGACATGGCTGTGGATAGTGACGAGGAGGTGGATTATAGCAAAATGGATCAGGTGTGTAGTTAGAAGCATAGTGGGGCCTTTGGGCAGTTACTCTTTCATACGTTATCGCCTTATCCACTACCCCAAAAATCTGTCTCTCATTTGCTGAGATCCCCACCTCCTTCAGCTACAACAGTAGAAGCAGCAGCATGGGGTCATGAGTAGCTGACCTTAAGTCTGCATAAGACCAAATGAAATAGGGAAAAAAATGTATTTCCTACAACAAAGTGCTAGGCTTCCTATCCTAGGCAAGTTTATTCATTTTTTTGAGACAGAGTCTCACTTTGTCACCCTTGGTAGAGTGCCATGGCATCATAGCTTATAGCAACCTCAAACTCCTGGGCTCAAGCAGTCTTTTGTCTCAGCCTTCTGAGTAGCTGGGACTACAGGTGCCCACCACAATGTCCAGCTATTTTTTAGAGATGAAGTCTCACACTTGCTCAGGCTGGTCTCGAACCTGTGAGCTCAGGCAATCCACCAGCCTTGGCCTCCCAGAGTGCTAGGATTATAGATGTGAGCCACCACGATGGCCCACAAGTGTTAATGTCTAAGTAGAAAGGGCAGAAGGAATTATACTTCTTATAAAAGTAAATTTTATTCTAGCTGGGATTGAAGTTTCTAAGTCAAAATTTTGAAAAAGTCAACACAACTCTGCTAATACTATTAATAGTGAAGAAGTATTTAGTTCCTCTGTTATTATTGTATTGCAATAGCATGGTTTAATCTTTGATCCTTGTTTAATTCTGCCTTTACCATTTAGTAATTTTGTGACCATGCCAAGTTCTTTTACTACTTAGGCCTTCGTTTCCTCATCAGGAAATATAATTCCCTCTTCATAGACTTTTGGGACAATGAAATAAGATGTGTTTAGTATTCAGAATAATGCCTGACATGTAGTAGCTATATAGTAAATGTTTGTTGTTTATTAAAGTAGGATTTATGAATGGTGAAAAATGGGATTGTGGAGAGTCTAAATTCATTCAAGGGTTAAAATTCCATTTCCACTGACATCTCTTCCTTCACTGTCTTCCCATTCTGTCCTGCAACAGGGTAACAAGAAGGGCCCCTTAGGCCGCTGGGACTTTGATACCCAGGAGGAATATAGCGAATATATGAACAACAAGGAGGCCTTGCCTAAGTGAGTCTATGCTGAATATGGGTAGAAAATGAGGAGGACTATGATGATTTGGTAAAATAGCCCATACTGTGTTAGAGTGTGTAGTCTGGCTGAGATCCAAATAGGTTCTTTGACCCTGGGGTTCTGGGAGATCCTTGCTGCTGTTATACAACCTTTGATGCCTTTTCCCCCCAAATGCACTTTTTTATGTCAGGGCTGCATTCCAGTATGGCATCAAGATGTCTGAAGGGCGGAAAACCAGGCGCTTCAAGGAAACTAATGACAAGGCAGAGCTTGATCGCCAGTGGAAGAAAATTAGTGCAGTAAGTGGGACTGCATCTTTGATGGGAGGGCTTCAGCTGGAAGGAGATACTGGCCTACAAATTCAGGAACAGGCAGGGGCTTGGAGTGCTGTAAGATGAGAGAGATCAGCTTGGGCCTCAGGTTAGCATACACTGGTAGCAGGACTACAGATAATCACTCTTCTTTTTTTAGATCATCGAGAAGAGGAAGAAGATGGAAGCTGATGGGTGAGCAGCATAATTTTTCCCCTGTGGTACTGGTGGTAATGCATAGTGTATTGATCTTATGCTGACCCATATCTTTTCAATTGCAGGGTTGAAGTCAAAAGACCAAAATACTAATCTCCAGTTTAATGCTCATTCTCCAAAGGGAGAATTTCCACAAAGATGTGCTCCCCACTGCTTGCTTTCTTCAATTTCCAGAAAGGTTGCAATATGTTTTTTGTGAATGTACATAAAATTTTATTGTATAGTCATTTGGTTCCATTAAAATTGGTTAACCTGCTGTCTTTATGTTGAACATCCCCTGTTAGGACCCCTGGAGCACCAGGGAGACTAATTCCACTTGTTGTATAAAATCCCATACAGAAAGTCTTTATCAGTTCTTCCTGAGCTGTCATTCTAGAGTCCTAAACAATAAAGATGTTTACCAGTTATTGTGATCAGTGGAGAAGAGAATAATGACCTTCACTGATGGGCAAATAGGGGATGGGCGAATGTAAAAATGATTGGTCTTAAATGTTAGAGTCATTTAGGTTTGCCTGGATGTCTAGTCCTAGGACATAGATTCCCTGGGAATTAAGGTCAGCCCACTGGGCTGCCAGTCTGATGCCAAGGCTGTGCAGGAGTGGGCTCTGGGTGAAGGTATCTAATAAAAATCAATTATGGGTGAGAACAAAAACCTTTTGAATTTGTGCCCCCCATGAGCTTTAGTAATGCCGAGTGTAAATCACTTCCTCCTTGCCTGAAGGAATAACCTTGGGGGGAAGTGCCTTGGGATTAGAACTGGTATACTCTGGCCCTGCAGGTACTGGAATTCCTTTCCTAGGCCAGAAGAGTATTGTACCCTTCATTACTCTGAAACATTTGCCAAGGCCCATAGTGGGCTTATTGGTCTTTGTGTTACTCCGTTCACTGCACTTTTCTTCCTCTCCGCTCATGAGCACTTTGGTCTGGTGCTCATCATTAGGGGTCACCACTTGCTGGATGCCATGCTACTACTACTAACCTAGCCTAAGACCTGTGGGCTCACCAGGTCGAAGGAAGACTAGAAAGTCACTTCAGCTATTGCCTTGATTTTGATCATTTTCACTTTGATGACAGGTTTTTTTAAGAAGCCAGGTTTACATGACACTTAAGGGGCTGAAATTGGACGCTGTCTGCAATAGCATCTAAAATAGCTGATTTTGGACAAATGATATCCTGATCCCATGTTTGTAGACAGTCCTAATTGGGAAAAAGGTCACACAGATTTGGCTCAGGTGAAGATACCTGGAGGTCATTAAAAGCAAGACCTGTGGGTTGACTGACTGTGGGTTTGAAATTCAGTTTCTGCAAGTACCACAAACCTCATAGAAGTGACCAAGACTTCCTGGTTGGCCACTAGTGACAAAGAAGCTCAACACCACACAGTAACTTTCCCAGTTACTCAGCGAAAGGGACGTACTGCCTCTGTGAGGTCTCATACCTCACTTTCACTTCTCTTTAAGGGTGTTGGGTATCAGCATGTAAGATGGCTTAGAAAGCTCAGTACCACAGAGATGTAGCTGGTTATCTTCAGCCTCAGGAGCATCTGCTCCTCATCTGCCTCATCATGCAGAGTGCTCCATCTTTTTATTTTTTTAAATGTTTTTATTTTATTATTTTTGAGACAGTCTCAAGCTGTTACCCCTGGGTAGAATGTCCTGGCGTTATAGCTCACAGCAACCTCCAACTCTTGGGCTCCAGTGATCCTCTTGCCCCTTTTTTTTTTTTTTTTTTTCTGTTTTAGTAGAGATGGCGTCTCGCTTTGGCTCAGGTTGGCCTCGAACTCGTGAGCTCAAGCTATCCACCCACCTCGGCCTCCCTGAGTGCTAGGATTATAGGCGTGAGCCACCGCGACTGGCCAGTGCTCCCATATTTGTGGAGCCTTTGGTAACAGGGATGTCCAGAATGTCAGCTGTCATGCTCACTTTCCTCTTAAGTGATTCCTTGGTAACTGAGCACTGCTTCTGCCCAGGGTCTTGGGCCAAACGTCAGGAAACAGCGTAGATTGGTGATCCTTTGGCCACAAATAGGTTGGATTGTCCAGCTTGAGCCGCGCCCTCGGGTTGCCTGCTGTCCAAGCTCCCTTATGCCATTTTTTGCTGCTTTCTGAGCGGCTACTCTGGTTGTCACTTGACACGATCTTGGGTTTCACCGAGCCAGAATGACTAAGGTCCCTCTCCTATCCAAAGGGCATTAAGTGCTAGGATGGAGCAGGATGAAGGGAAAGGATTTAAAGGCAGTTCCCAACTTTATGTGAAGTGACTAGCGAGGGTGGGGGGGAATTACCATCGCATCATTTAGTTAGCTCCAGTCCGGATCGCAGCAAGACCAGTTAAGTGGTGAGCCTCTTCAGCCAGCCCACCCACACTGGCAATGTGGCCAGTGCACCTTCCCCCGGGTGACCTAGAACGCACCAGAGACACTTCCGGCCCCGCCCCTGAGGCGGAAGCTGTGCTCTGCGTCACGCCCCATGCAGTGCGGTTAGTTCCGGAGCGGGTGAGTCTTCTGTGCTACAGTCCCGGCATGGACCGCGTGTGTGAGGAGAGGTCCACTAAGGATGGGAGCGACGAGGAGGACCCTGACTCCGCGGAAGCCCCGGCCCGAATCCGGGACACCCCAGAAGACATCGTGCTGGAAGCGCCGGCCAGTGGGCTGGCGTTCCATCCGGCCCGCGACCTACTGGCTGCGGGGGACGTGGACGGAGACGTGTTCGTGTGAGTGCTGGGCAGGGCCTGGAGCTTTGGGTCTGGAAGCTCTCCAGGGGTGGAACTAGGAAGAGGAGGGAGGGGACAAAGTTGCAGGGAGACAAGTTTTTCAAGACAGATTCGCTCGGATTCAATAACATTTATGTTTTGAGCTAGTTACTAAACAAATCTATTTGAAAAACTGATAGCACAAAGTAGAATGTCGTAACGGAGCCCAGAGTCTGTAGCAGGACGAGAAGGCGTCTAAGGCCTTGGTGTTTCCCGCTAGATTATTTTATATTGAGTTTGAACTCAATATAAAGAAGTTAAACGGTCTTCTTTCTCCTTTTATTTAATCTTTCAAAACCACAAATGCGACTAGTCACTCCCCTCCTTTAATGTCTGCTTTTAGGATTTAGTGCAGACTTCTTAATCTTTCAAGCCCTGATCATCTGACCCTTGCCTGCCCTTTTGCTGTCTGCTCATTCATCCATACTTTATTAAAACATATTTTGAAGCCTTTGCTCCTTTGCACGTGATAGTCCTTTTGCCTGGAAAACTTCTTTCCCTTCATTTCTTCCTTACTCCTCAGAATCTCCCTTTTCCTCCATGGCTTATACTAAATGAGGCTACCTGTTAGATGCTGCCATAGCACTAATGCCATGGTACCTTTTTCTCATAAACTTTATAATGGTTTATAACCATATACATGTTATTTGTATGCTTGTCTCTTTCACTAGAGAAATGTTTTTCAAGCTTTTTTTGATCTTGCCCACAGAAAAATACCTTTTACATTATGTATGATGTTCTCTGTTAATTTCTTTTCTTTTTTTTTGAGACAGTCTCACTTTGTAGCCCTGGGTAGAGTGCCCTGGAGTCATGGCTTGCAGCAACCTCAAACTCTTGAGTTTGAGCAATCCTCTTGCTTCAGCCTCCTAGGAGCTGGAACTCCAGGCACCTGACACAATGTCTGGCTATTTTTAGTAGAGACTAGGGCTTGCTCTTGCTCAGGCTGGTCTTGAACTCCTGAGCTCAAGCGATCCACCTGCCCTGGCCTGTCAGAGTGCTAGGATTACAGGCTTGAGACACCATGCCCAGCCTATGTGATAATTTCTGATTTTACTCTTTTTATGACTTGTGTGTATACACACAATTTTGATTGAGCTTACTCATATTTTTATACTCGGAATTTGAAAAACACAGATTATTCTGTAGTCCATTTTGTTTTTTATCTTCTGCCTCTAGTCTAGGGTAGGTGCTCAATAATGTTTGATTTTGAACAAAAGATATAGGCTGGAAGCAGTGGAAAGTCATTGAAGGTTTTTAACCCAGAGAGTTGTGCTTGTCAGATTTACTTAATGAATTTAAATATCAGTCCCTCATTAGCTTTAATGCCCTTGGGCAATTTAACTTATGTATTTTCATCTTTGTAAAGGAGAATAATAATATCTACCTTACAGAAGGGAGGAGCGTTTAGGATAGGACCTGAGCAGTTGTTCAATAGGTTTCCTGGCAGGGTGTGGTGGCTCACGCCTATATTTCCAGCACTCTGGGTGGCTGAGACAGGTGAATTGTTTGAGCTCAGGAGTTCCAGACCAGTCTGGAGTGAGACCCCATCCCTAGTAAAAGTAGAAAAACTGAGGCAAGAGGATTACTTGGGGCCAAGAGCTTGAGGTTGCTATGAGCTATGATGCCAGAGTACTCTACTCAGGGTACCAGAGTGAGACTCTGTCTCAAACAAAAGCAACAAAAAACAAATGCAGGTTTCCTTCTACTACTATTTCATATTTATAGTGCCAGACACTTGCCTTCCATCTTTCTTCATATTCTCCATAACTTCATTGCTTTAGTTTGTCTCAGAAAAGGGTTGGGAGGGCATCCCTTGGTTCTGCTCCTCCCCATTCCCCACCCTCAGTCACTCCCTTCTGGTAGGCCTCTGACTTCTCCCATTACCATTCTGAAAAGGTTTCTTTTCCCACAGGATTAAAGTTGGACATCTACTTAGCCCACAGGGTCTGAAGCCCAGTCTAGCTCATCTTTCCAGATTGAGCCATGCCACTCTCCTGCTACCTGAACCCTCTTCTCATTTTTTTTTTTTTTTTTAGAGACAGAGTCTCTTTTTGTCACCCTTGGTAGAGTGCTGTGGTGTTACAGCTCACAGCAATCTCCAGCTTTTGGGCTTAGGTGATTCTCTTGCCTCAGCCTCCTGAGTAGCTGGGACTACAGGCACCTACCATAACACCTGGCTATTTTTGGTTGCAGTTTGG